AATTCAAAATATACAACCAATTTTTTTTAATGTTTGTTAACATTACCTCAAAACCCTGTTAGTTGTAAACCTATTTGAAACTTTTTTTCATCTGAAAGAACGTATACACAGACAATTTATTTTAAACATATTCATTCAACATGTTTTTAAACATACTTTTTAATACTGCAAATAAATTACAATAACTGAGGAAATAAAATGGGGTACGGTGATATGCGACATTTTACTAATCTCTGAAAAATATATTTATATCGTTTTACTGTTTTTACAAACCGTATACTGAAAACCTTTTTTTATGAAGTTGCATTTATCACACTGATGTTTTCATATTGCAAGACATTTTTATATTTAGGTAGTATTTTTAAGTCTATTTGTCTATTATAATAATCTCTATAAATATTCGATTATATATTTAACTACGAATACAACAAAAAAATCTTCTAAGTATTGTATTATTTATTGTATTAGATTTTTTCTTGTAATATGTGTTGCTAATAAAAGATATATAAAATACTTATATAATAAACTGTATAAATAAAAATCAATTGTCGAATATATGTAAGCGTATCAAAACGACGATATCTGATTGAATATGTTTTGGTTGTTTATATTTATTAGGGTTTTTATGAAAGAAAATGTTTAAAAAATTGTATGAAAAAGTGAAAATTTTAGATTAGAAGATCTCCATATAAAAAAGTGAGCAAATGAGTACTCACTTTTTTATATAACTAATGAAGGACATAAGACCATTTCTTTTATATGATGATGGAATAAGAATATACTAAGTTAACACACACACACACACACACACACACACACACACACACACAACAATCCAATAGAACAAAATATCGAAACAAAACTCTATATTAAGCCACCCGGCTATCGTATGATATCTTTGTAGATCAAGAGCATTAATGGGTCTTTTAGGATCCTTCTCTTACAAGAAAAGCGCCATACACACTAACGGGACCTTAATCTTTTTGCTGCTTGGTTTTGTAGCATTTACCGTGCTAACTCTTGTCTTAAATCATCAGAATTATATTCTACTTGGTTATCAATATTTATGACTGTGATGTCTAATTTTAAAATATTGTACATTTATTCTATATTCAGTTAAATAAACATACAGGTTCAGTGTCGGATGAATCCGACAGGGGCGGAACGGGCACGAAAATATTTGTCGATTAAAACTAACTGGGGTTGTTAAAGGATAATGAATTGTAATCGTACAGTCACTCATAGTTATCTCACGTCTATTATTCTAGTCTAAATTAGCTTTAAACACAATGTTAACTGTTAACTTTACTTCGATGTAATATTTTCTATGTTGTACTTTGTGCACTACTAAGAACCTATGGGAGAACTAGTAATAGTCATAACTTAGCGGCTTAGCCAATATCGCAAGTCTTGTTAGATACTAACATAAGTCTATTTTATTTCGCTTGCTACAATGTCGGTTTCTTTCAAATTTAATACAACTTTGTTCTCGTTGTCCGATTTCTCTCCACGTCGAAAATTCTATGCCCCACTTTCTTGCACTTTATTGTATTTAACGGATTACTTACTTTAATCTGAAAATGATTTTCAAATGGAGGGGATAATGTTTTTGAAAATAATAACTAATAATTTCTTACGTATTAATTTTGGAATAAATTACACTTCATTTGTTTTATGCTCCTATTGTAAGGTTAAATTAATTTTGTGATCTTCGCTACACACCAGCACCCTAAATTTTGAAGTAAATGTTAGCTGTAGCATCCTTCTATGGTAAGAGGGAATTCTAATGAAAAATACCTCGCTCCGCGGCGGCGCGATAAAAACGCGAGGCGTTATTTTCACTCGAGCATCAAGCGCTAATTAATAAAACGCATTAGGCTCCCAACTTGTTTTACTTCTGCGTTATGATCCGTGGTGTGTATTGTGGTCGTTGCCTTTGTTCGTGAACTTACTACGAGTGACTGGCGCTTTCATACACATTGCCAAAACCAACCCTAAAGGGCAAACAGTACAGGATCGTCATTTTGGTTTGTCATCAATCTATGTTAGGGCGGCTGACATGTAAGTGTTAATTAAGCAGTCCTCACTCGAGCGTAATTAAGAGTGTTACAGTGTTATTTTAGACATTAATTGAGATGAAATTTCTTGTTATAATGAAGCGGGTGGGGGAGGCGTATCTCGAGTAATTTTGTTTGAAGGCCACCTTTGCCGCACGTCGCAAAGCCGAAGAAATACACTGGAGAGCAAACAAACTTAAGTTTCGATCGAAATTAAGATTAGGAAAGACGTTGCTGGTGTTATCGCTTCCTTGTAAACTTGTTCGGTAGTAAAAGATAGGCCTACTACTAAAGTTAATGCGCTTTATGTAACAATTGTATTTAGCCGATCTCAAAATCGTATTTAAATAACCTTATGGAATTTACAGCAAAGTAAAGAAAAGAAATACTCCGTAAAAAGCTACTTCAACCATGAACATGCAGCAATAAACGACGACATGTTTAGTAGACACATTGGATTGAAAATATTTGAATTTAAAACGCAGAGCTGTCTCTTATATGCATAAGATTCCGCGTAGATAAGTAATAGATTTTATTTCGCAACAAACTATTTTTACCGTGCAAAAAAAAAGGCGACAGCAATAATTGACACAAAATTAAATGATATACCAATATAAAAATAAACTCTAAGGATTGCTCATTTTTGCAATTTAAAAATCACTTCAGATTTGACGGTATAATCACGAAATATTAAAACAGAAAAATTGAGAATCTTTTTCTTTCGTAATGCTTAAAACTAGTGAATTATGATAAACTTGAAACTACAAATATTAATTTAGTTAAAAGGAGAATTTAAAAATTGGAGAACATAGTAGATTTTTTTACAATCCAATAGTAATAGTGATGTAACAATAAACCGTTTTGTATTAGACTGTAATACCACTAAGTACAATCTAATGACAATAGAAGGAACCACTAACGGCTTATCTTCGAAGATTATATTAGAGAGCATACCTAATGACATCATTAGGTATGGACAGTGGTTCAGTTGAGAAGTATCTACTTACGTACGATGTCGGTTATTTAGGTATGCGTTGATCCTATAAATGTATATTCTTTTACAAATCAATTTTTTTTGTATACTTTTTAATTTAATAATAGTAGTAAATAAGATATCCACATACGTCGTACTAATATTATACGAGTAAGTGTAAAAGTTGGAATGTAGATGTTTTTACTTAATTACACCTAAACGGCTGAACATATTTAAATAAAATTTTGTACACGGATTGGCCCTTATTTAACACATTAGAATATAGAAACAGTTAATAAGTAAATAATAAAACAAGAGAAAAATAATTTTATGCATATTTATATTTTAGGGCATTTTCTAAGATTAATTTTTCAATCAATTGAAGAATGACTAAAATAGACGTGCACCAGTCTTTTATAATAATATATACAAAGTTCCATCAAGTGCCGACAATTACAATTATTAAGATAATTCTATGCATTTTGCATTTCACAATATGTCTAGTTCAACTAAATGACACCCCCATGTTGAATTTACCAAAGAAACTTATTTCTTATTTTGCATTTGTAAATTTTCTGATCGATGTATATGAATTTTTAAAAATCCTTGAATGCATTTCAATTTTTTTTTTAACCTTAATGAATGTTTCCATTAAGTAACGGTTCTTAGCATTTATATGTATTATTATAAACGTTCTACGTGTTTCTTTTACGTGTATCAAACAAGAGGCATCTCCTTTGTAATATTAGTATTTACCGGCGGTTACAAGTTTTATTGATACTGTACGTCCAATAACCTGAGTCGAGAGTAATACCAGGTCTATTTACACGCCGCAGCGCTGCAACAGTGTCTTCTTCAGAAAACGAGTCGCTTTATCATTTGTGGACAACAGGCACTTGGGGCTTATTGTGGCTATAGGCTACATATACCTACTTTTACATAGCTAAAGGATTGTTTGAGCTACTTTAAAAGGTGTAGGTAGGAAATGTTAGCGCTTTGTAGCTCCTAGTAATATATCATTATTCATACTTTGCAATAAATTATTACGAGTATTCTCTCTCTTCTTTTGTTATAATTTCTCAGCCTTTTTTAACGTCATTGAACATTATACTTGATGCACTTGTAAATTGAGAATTAACTCGCAAATAACTAAAAGATGCGAACTTGAATATTGCTATAAATACAACAATTATGTATATTTTGTTGTTTTATCATCAAAATATATTTTGATTTTCACAATCATATATTATGCATTATTTAGATCCATCATATTTTTACAAATTTATAGGTAAAAATTATTTAAAAATTCAAATCAACATAATGCTGCTTATGATGTAATATTAAGTTGTGGTACATATAGTGAGGCCAATAGTGAACCGTTGAATTCTACGAGTAGTTCAAAATTTTAAATATTTGACTACGTATAACTATTAGTATTCAATAATCTTGGTTAATAACAATCATTCTTTATATAAATAACATCAATTTCTTAACCAGGCAATAGCTAATATCAATCAAAATATTAAACAAATGTAATTTTTACATACGCAAACTATATATATGGTAAAATGGAAACCTTAACAGTTTTAATCTCTGTGACAAGATTTTAGTTTTATGTTAATTATGGTAATTCTCGAAGATACAGGTACTTTTGAAACTAATGCATATTGAACGATTTTATTAAGTTTTAGTACGTAGGTATCATCTTATTCTTTTTTTATAAAAAAAAAGAAGGTATATCATAAAAATTGTATACTTATTAATGCCTTTGAAGAATACAGAAACCGTTATAGTTAATTTCTAAAGTGCAAACCTTGACATGCACAGGCAGGGTTGCCCTTCCATCATCACTCCTAAAAGAACCCTTACTTACTACTACCTTACTACCTACCTTACCTACCTACCTTACTTACTTACCTTACTTTGAAATTATACTTTTAAAGGTAATAATATATTTTATTTTTATTTAGATGAAATGGTAATATCATCCAGCAAGTATGAAGTGGTAAACACAGTGATAAGCTCCTTTGAGAGTCGTATGGCGTTAACAGTACGGCACCTGACATCGACTGACGTAGGCGGGTACAGATGCGTTGCGAAAAATTCACTCGGTGAAGTGGACAGTATTATTAGACTTTATGGTAAGTTATTTTATTTGAACAAAAATATATTTTTTTAAATTAGGAGTATTTAAATTATAATTATTACTATCTGAGTTCTGTAATTTTGGATTTTTTTCTCGGATAAAATAAGATAAAATCTGTCGTATGTTTATTTACTGTATGTACATATCTATATACTATTTACAGCTTTTTATCAACCATATAACCATATTATTATTATTAGCCAGTACGCCAATATTTATAGTTATAGAAACGTGAGAAGAAACTAGCCCCATTCGTACAATTTAATAATATTTCCAAGTTAAAAGAAACAACGAAATAAAGATAAAATAGTGAAAATTCTGTATTTTTTATTTAGTGTTATGGTAGCAAATAAGCGCCCCGTGTGATGTTTAACGGGATCACCGTAGCCTATAGATGCCTGCAATACCAGAGATATCACGCGCGCGTTGCCAACCCTTAAAAAACTTTTCACATCGTTTTTGAAAAATTCCATACCATCTTTAGGGAAAACATCAGCAAGAAGATCATTCCACAATCTCAGTGTTCACGGGAGGAAGCTCCGTAGGAATGATATAATTTCTGTCGTTTGGACACTTTATGATAGAGTTTATGAAGAATTAAGCATCACTTATCGTCAACAGACTCGATTTCAATACGGACAAATTTCATCGTATGCACGAAATTCAGATCTAAACCTTCTGATTTAGGTTTCATTATAGACTCCGAAGTTTTAATTCCTCTTATTAGTCCAAAAAAATTTATTATTATATAATACTAATAAATAATACTTTCACATTTATAATTTTCTTACTAATGTGAAAGTGAGTTTATTACCCTATAGCGCCTTAATAGCTTAAACAATTACTATGAAATTTGGTATACATAAATTATATGAGATGAAAAAGGATATAAGTTTATCCCAGTGAGTGAAGATATCGCAGTCACGCGAACGAAGTAGCGTGTAAAAGCTAGTCTATATAATAAATCCTATTATTAAATATTTCAGAAATACCTGGACCGACGATTAAAAATACAAGTCCAGCAAATCAAAAAGAAGATTACAAGTATTCTACACCAATTGAAGGACCCGACAATCAATTTGGTTCGGCAGATCGATCAGACGATGAAGACGATAGAGAAGTAGCACTAGAAGTATCAGATAAACCATTAACTACACATAAAATCGATAATGCTACTATAAAAAATCGTACAATTAGTTACTCAAATTCTGTAAACGACCAAAAACTAAGTAATAAAGTTCGTAAAATTATTAATAAATTTGAAATAGTCGAAGAGTCTGATGTAAGTGGTAATAGCAAATTTTATTCTAAAATATCGTTAATTATTGCATTAGTATTAATAAATTTAGATTTAACATAAAAATAAAATGGATATATTAAGGTATACAGGGTTTCAGGGAAATCACTGCTATCCTCTAAAGAGATAGAAGTAAAAGAACATATAAAACATAAATGATATACACAAAGAAAAAAAAAAATAACTACGTTTATTCGTTAATAAAAAATATATTTACATAAAAATAATGTTACTCGTTGGTAAACACATTACTTTAAAAAGTCTAAAAATATATTTTTTTTTTTAATTTGGATTTTTGTTTGAAATATTCAGAAAAGTAAAAAAAATGATGAAGTATTATAAATATTTATAATCTATTTTTCACGAATTCATTAACTGGCAGCATGTACAACGATATGCTTATTTTAAAATATTTTTGCCTTTTTCTAATAAAATTTCAATTATTAATTAATTACATTTTCTTCTGCTGTTTTCTTGTAACTATTACTTCAGAGGATTTCCCTTAAAGACTGTATATTATTCATTCTTGCTTACTACTTATTCCTAAATCGATTCTGAAATATATCCCTTCCATTATTTACTTTCAAAATGTAAAGTATACTTAAAATCAATATCTTCAAAATAAAATGTATTGCAGATTATTCGATCGCTTTCAGATATAATTAATTGGGCTTTTTGAAGTAGAACATAAATTGATATTGATGAGAGACTTCCGTAGATATGAAAATTAATATCGACGTTCCAACATCGTCGTTAGTACTTTAATATAAGGTAAATACTTTTAATTTACTTATATTGATCATATTTCGATCACTTTGTTACCACTTAAACTAAGTACGTACTTGAAATTGGTCGATATTTTGCTGTAATGCAGTGCTGTAGTGATGGAAAGATAATACATATATAAGTAAATTTTGTTTCGTAGCAACCTTTTAACGTCCCACTACCGGACACAGATTCCAAAAGTGAGGAAAAAGTCCAGGCTGGCCAGATAGCTTGCTATAAAATAATGTGGTAGTAATAAAAGTGCGACTAGATACTTAACCTATTAAATTTAGTAACTTCATACTGACTTCACCTTTATATTTAAAAGTGATATATTATATTGATAAACGCATAAATTTTACATTTGTTTGTGAATTTGTGAATTTCAATGACTTACATATACAGTGCTCTTATATATATAACCGACTTTAAAAAGGAGAAATTCTTAGTTTAACTGTATTATCGTGCAAATTTTTCGCGATACCATAGCTAATTTTGAACCGAATCAATTTTGAATGCTTCTTATTCAAACGAAAGTATTTTCTCACAAATAGATTCTATAAAATTATTTAAAATTAGTTTTTTTCTGTGAAGAGTATCATTATAAAAAAAAGTATAAAATAGAAACAAAGTAAAATAAGTACGCTGTATTTTCATTAAAAGAAAATAAAGTATATTTCATTTTGTGTTCACCATTATAAATTCAGAACATGAATACTAAAGCTATTTATGTGTACTTAATCGTTTTATGTCTGTTTTGCGATGCAATAATACCTTTATTATTTTTTTAACCTTCATTACACTAAATTAAAACAAAATAACAAATTATGGTATTTCAAATCATACATGTACTAATATTTATTTTGTATATTTGTAGATATTTTTTTATTTTGCTGTATTACTTAGTGGATTTTATATTTATAGCATTGAAGTACAAAAAATGACCATCATAGTTATGTTCATGAAATGTAGATGTAAGGTATTAATATAAAGTAATAATAAGTATAACATAGTGAATTATATATGTGATATAATCAGTAAAATATATAGTAAATGATTGACTGAAACATGTGGCAATAATTTAATCGTTGCATTCCAAGTTTTTCAAAATCTTTATAAATAATAATACTTAATATCTTTCTCTTCCACCTTTAATCTTCCTTCTTTCTCTTATATGCAATATCATAATATAAATACATACATATGTATAATTAAGATAATTTATAATACTCATCATGAAGTTTATAACAAAAATAGTTATAAACTTTTTATTTTATTCACGCAATGTAACCCACATGTTACGCTATAAATAGATAAATATATTAAATATATAATATAATCAAAATGTGAATATAAATAATTATGTGGTCCATATATCAAAAAGCGCTGTAAAATATGAATAATATTATATCGAGGTGAAATAATTGTGTTAATTTAAATATGTAATAAAATGTAATTAAAATCCGATTATTGTTTTATTTTTTAATGTCCTAATCGATGTATATTAAAAAAATTAGACACAAACATATTTCAACGTGTATAAATATATCTATAATATATAATCACACATAACAAATATATATTTTGCAATTTAAGATGCAGCTATTTTCTTCATTGAAAAAAAAATACTGATAATGAGAAAGTGCCCTCCATTCTGCTGAATACAAGATCTAAAACATACAATTACATTAAAAAGCTTTAAATCTATAATATTTATGAATATATTGTAATTCTAAGTATATAAAAAAAATACTTTTTATAAGTAATAAGTTATAATCTAATGGAAAAAAGCTTTTTAACGATATGATAATGTTAGTAGAATAACAATATAGTTTTTGAATTCATCATTCAAGTTTCCTCGCATACAGACATTGAACTTTTCCCTCTCGTACTTCATTACGAAATATCAGTTGGAAGTATAACAAACAAGCAAACTCAAGTTCCGAAGCCAGGCTGTGGTTTGTTCCAAGTTTCCAGTCCAATGTGGCGGATTACCCGACATCTTAGCTCATCTTCATTATACGGAACTTTGGCATTTTCACACGCCTGCCTTCTCCCACACGGGCGTGTTTTGTGCTGTGTATGCAAATTAGCTTTGTTAAGTTCGTAAACAAATACACAACTTTTTGGCTATACGGAATTGTTAAAGCGTGTGATATTATTGTGTTATTCTTAAAGAATTCACGTTTGCTTATGTTGAGAGTGTTGTATAGGTAATATTTTATCATACACATCATACTGTAAACATTTGTCGACATGCAAAAATGTATGCTTTGCATCCACATTTTTTTTTAATAATTGATGTCTCTTGATGCATGCTTTTGCACTGCTTATAAAGTACTGTTACAATAAAATAATTACAAGAAGAAAGATTATTGAGTGGCTACCTAGTACAGGTAAACGCAGTTAGGATGACCCACTACTGGAGTGACGACTTCAAATGCAATGCAAGGAGTCAGCGGATGCAGGTGGCTCAGAACTATTCCTTATGGCAGTCTATGGAGAAGGCCTATGTTCAGCAGTGGACAAGTAATGCCTGAGATAATGATGACGATAATTACTATAAGCATACAATTACGTATTACATAAACGTTTTTTGTCACATTAAAATTTTTGGTGATTTTAAAAACACATTTCACCTTAACAGTATATTACTTTGATAAAGTGCTAAAGTATTACTGTACATAACTCACTGCTACATGTTCCACTGTACAGTATAATAATATACTTTAAACCGCACGCGTCTAGTCTTCAAATATTACAATTTATAACTGTCAAGTAGAATAAACGTGGTCGAAATGCGAACAAAGGGAAAAATCTACAGAGTCAAGCGACCGACAGACCGCTTCGTAGGTAACGGTACTGCACGAGCGAACGAGGAAATTTACTTAGAATGAAATTTTAATTGCTCTTATCTACTGGCTTTCTTATATACTGTAAGTATCACAGGCGACAATGCACTGGATAAAACAACGGAACACCGAGTAACGAGGAAATAATCAATCTTCCAAGTCCACTTGGAAGCAATCAACGGTCTGTTATTGCGTCCGTCCAATCCGATAAAAGACTCGATATATCAAAGACGTGCGGTTCAATTACTACTCAATGTGCTATCTGTTGGATACAGTACGAGTAAATCGAAAATAAAAATGGGCCTACGTAGTTGTGGTGTCATCGATTATTAAATGTCAACAACACACTGCAGCATCGATATTTGTGATCGATGCAATCGTCAAGTTCATAAGTGAATATGATAGTACATAAATGTAGGCTGGTATACATGATTGTAACTAAACAAAATAATAATATAGCCGTTCTTTTTAAAATATTTACTGATATTTAAAATAATTTAGGATGATCGACGTCTTTATTCGGCGTTAAATGAGCCACCGCTTCCTTTTCCATAGGTATCGTAAGGAGCGACTAAGAGAACTTAACAGTCGAGGGATGGACGGCAGAAAGTCCCTCCTAAAACGTTACCAAACCCTAACTGCAGTTGCCAACCCGCCTGTTATGTGTGAAAATTACTGGCAGAACTTTCCTTATAGGGAAAGCAGTGGACATAGACGATGATGTGCTATGGTGATATTGACTATTGACATCAATATTTCATATTCTATATACTATTTAATTAATAAATATATGTATTTAAAATATGGAAGAATATTCGTTCTTCTACCTTATCTTTCAACAGAGAAAAAAAAAGAATATTATCAAACAATAAAATATAAATTAATAATACATATTCGGTTTTTATTTAACATATCACAATTAAAAGATAGGTTGAGAAACAGTGTGATTAAAGAGAAGTGTGGGCTGAAAGACACTATAATGACAAAATCCTAACGGGAATGTAGGGTTGGTTTAGCCGTTTGGAGAGGATGGATAAAAGAAGAATTACTAAAGAGATTTATCGAGCAAGATTGAATGGAGATGTCTGGTTGTCATAGATGGACATCAAATAAGCGATTTGCTGAAGAAGGACCGAATTAAAATACCTATATTCGGCGAGCGTGTATGAAAAGATTGATGAATGTGGAGAAAGCGAAAAAGGCGAATCGATCCCTAATGGGAGACAGACGTGATAGATATGTATGTATATCACAACTAAGATGAATTTCATATATCTCTTGGGATACGCTGCAGAGGCCCACTCTTATAGTATCTTTTCTTTAACATATACTTACACAATATAGACCAGCCTTTCCAAAGTGGGCGATAACGCCCCCTTATGGGCGCTGCAGGCCTAAAAGGGGGCGGTAAGAGACCGAGAAATAAATGGAGGCGTTGTGTAGAGACTTGGGGGGTGATCTTGAAGTAATAGTGGTTTTTAAATAGATGAAAAAATGGGGGCGCTAAAAAAATATTTATTCTCAAAGTGGGCAATAGACAAAATAAGTTTGGGAACCCCTGATATATATATATATACTGTCAATGGCGGCTGTTTACTGCCCATCATTTGAACTCGAGAATTTAAAGAAAGGAGGAGAGGGAATTTAGAAATATTCTTGCATGCAAACAAGAGGAGATTGTTCAGCAACTCTGAGCGAACTCTTGACTTGAATATTATGGCGTAGAATTGAAATACTGTGGAATTTCAGCTGTTAAAAGTGCGACAGGTACGAGTGAATATCCATAATGGATTTATATACATGTAATGTAAGAAAAGGAAAAAGTAAAAGTTTATGTAATAAATTATTTAACACTGATAATAGTAATTCTTGTAATATCGGTATATTTACATAAATCATTCATAATATCTCATATTGTTATAAGAATCATTTAAATTTAATAAAACGTTGACCTGTTAAATACAAATTGAATAACAAAACGGATCTAATTATTAATCTGCTTATAAAATAAATTAATGCGGAATTTTATTTTAGCATTTCATTTAATAGAATGCAGATACAAACTTGTTTTCTGTAATCAATTTACAGAAAATAACAATTTACATGAACAAATTGGAAATTGAAGGTAATCATTAAAATATTTTGCTTTATTATGGAATCGTAATGAAATAACAAATCAATGAATACATTTTAATGTTATTAGGTTTATTCCCATCTTCTTGATGGAAATAAATCTAACAATCTTAAATACAATGTTATTTTAAATAGGTAACATATAAAAAAAATTAAGAAACAAATGATATTCTTAAGTGGTGCAAATAATAAAACAAGTATTACTATTACAATATATGTGTGTATATATTATATATACCCACCTACTTATGTAATAAATATAATTTTAACTTTTTCATTTTCACTGATACCTACATATACAATTACCAAAGATATTTAATCTTTATGGTATTTGATGCAATGGAAAGATTAAGTTGCGTACTAGCTGTGATCGCGACTCCATTCGCATTAGCTGAAATTAATTAAAAAATACAATAATTATTTGATATCTACTCCTATTTCCAGGTAGAATGACTTAAATAAAAATATAATTATCAAAATAAATAAATAAAAACATTTATGCAATTGTCGCAAATTACTTTTAATTGTCGTTCTTAACAAAAATAATGTAGAGTACGTAAAATGGTATGAAATATTCTAAATTCTCAACACTTCTGTTAAATTTTAACATGAGTGTGAAAGAAAATAATATCAAAACGCGAGCGTAGACTCATCTAATTTGGTAGGTGTCGTACGTCGGGACATATTAATGCAATTACCTGTTAAAAGCCCCGCCTAGTGCCCCGGGTGTTCTCCAAAGATACGCCTATTGTGAACACTACATATATGTTAAGAGCTGTTAAACTGTTTCAGATTTTCTAACCTAACTAATATTATAAATGTGAAACCGTGTTTATTGGCTATCTCTTGTCTCCTTATTATATTTGGTATAGGTGCTCGTAATATTTGGCATAGAGAAAAATAGGATACTTTTTACCCTCATCAACCAAAATTTCCATACAAAATGTGGCCGTGGCATTTGCTAGTTCTTACTAATAGTATAATTGTGGAAGTGAGTTTGTTGGTTACCTTATAGCGCCTTAACGATTTCATCAATTTCTTTGAAATTTTGTATACAAATACTACTAGTACATGGTATCGAGAAGGATATCACCTACTTTTTATCATGGTTACGCAGACGAAGTCGCAAGTAAGGCTAATATTTATATAAACGTAAATAACACAACTTTTTAATTAATTATTTTTAATGTAAAATAAAAGTCTAAAATGTAAGCTCATTTCTACGGTTTCGTCCATGACACCAAGATATATTCAATGATGGAAAAAAGTTGTAGTACTTGTAACTTAATACCAAATTTTATGACAATTGATAGACCCGTAAGGCGCCATGAGATAATAAAAAAAATAAAACCGTTCAGGTGTAAGTCGTACTCACACATCGAGTAATCCGAACATAAGATAAAATGAACATAAGACATTTTTTACGAAATGTTTAATTATAATATAAAACCTAATATTTTAATATTATGACTGATACTGCAATTCATGATTTCTTATTTTGAGCAATAATTTAAAACTCTATCCTCCAAAATAAACAGTAAGTTTATTTTGGAGGTTTCTTGACAATATCTCAAATGAGTGTTAGTTAGAAACATAGTTTTATTTTTTCTGTTACACTCATATATACCTTTACGAACTGTAATTATTTAAGATTTTTTTTTGCAAAGATTGAATTTCAGAGATTGAAGTATAGTTTCTTACATTTTCGATCATACTTCAAAAAAGCGCGTTAGAAAAAATAAATATAAAACAGTTCTTAAAATGTTCAAATAAAGTTACACCATAAACGTTATTATATGTTTTGTTTACGGAACCCTAAAAATGTACATCCACCTTTATAACACTAGTGAAGATATAAATTGTAATCTATAATCATATTACTTTTATATTAAAAAATATATTTTTTATACAATCTAGAAGATTAACTAACTCTGCGTAACAATATAATAGGATTGCTCTATACCATAGTCTATAAATACTTGCTAAACTACTAAAAAAGCTCTTTTCTAAAGAGCATTTTAACAATCTTCAACTATAATATGAATTTATCATTTACATTTATTTAGATACAGCTAGTATCTCGCAGC